CCTCTCTCTGTATTTGATAGTCTGATTATGTTGTTCAATAGTCTTTCTGTCTTGACAGTTCTTTGTTGAATGTGATATTTAAAATTCAACTTGGAGTTTAATCATACTCCTAATCATTTGACATTTAAACTAGGTTTAATCTCTCTATTTAAAAGAGTTAGAGATAGTTCTTTCTCATTCAATCTAGAAAAGAAATGAATTAAGTCAGTTTTATTCATATCAAATTGAATTTGACTGATATCTGCTCTGACAAGGATTTCCTTTACAGCTTTTTCAATCACTTTCAAATTCTCTTTGATAGTTTTTACACTGTAGATGAGATCAATATCATCTACATAACTTGAAGATCACACTATTTTCATATTTCTATCTTTGAATAGATATACAGTGTATATTGCAAATAAAATGAGTGAGATTAGAGATTCTTACAGTACTTCTATTTTTATCTCAGTCTTATCTTATTTCATTCCATCAAAGAAAAGTTGTATAATTCTTTTAGATATAAAACAATTAACTTATTTTATTAGAGAAAGTGACAGTTTTAACATCTTCAAAGTCTGAATTAACTTTGACTTTGAAACATGATCAAATGCTTCTTTTATATCAATAAAAACTGCAGTTGAGACCAGATCTTCATACTTTGCTATTTGAATATTATGAATAACTGAGAGAACAGTGTCAATTGCAGAACATTATTTTCTATCTCTTATTTATTCACTGAATAAAAGAGAGTTATTAATAGAGCTTATAAAAGATAGTTAAGTAGCTATTATCTTTTCCAAAATCTGTTCTAGACAGTTTAATAGAGATATTACTCTATATAACTTAGAAATTGAAGTTTTTCTATTAGATTTTGCAAGAATCACTTCAGTGGCTTCTCTTCAGCATTCAGAATAATATTCATTTTTCAAGAGATTGAAAAAGAGCTCAAAATATTCATTCTTTAAGTAGAAATATGTATTTTGAATATTCAAGTGATTAATTGAATCTGGCCCTGCAGCAGTTTTAACAGAACTTGAGAAGATAGCTGACTCTAATTTATCTTGTGTAAGATCAGGCTATTCTCAGTCATTTTTATCAATGTAGTTGAGAAGTGATATATTCTCTTCTTCTGAATCTGAATCTGAATCTAATGAGTTCTGAAAGAGAATTCTCATGAAAGCTTGACATTTTTCCTCTAAAGAGTTTGCTGTATATGATTTATTCTGAAACTCATATTCTAAGGTTAGAAGTTTTGCTACACTTCTTGTTTTAGTATAGTTAAAAGCTTTAAAAACTTCTTTTTCTTATGCTTCTTCAAGAAATTTATTTCAGCAATCTGTTTTAGCTTTTTTAATATCTGAAAAATATTCATTTCTGACAGCTTTGAACTCTTCATCAGATATTACATCATTCTTTCAATCTCTTCTAGCAGTAGCTAATTCTTTCCTTTTAGATAAGATATTCTCATTTCATCAAGATTTTGAATACTCAGAAGATTTTCTCTTTGAAATATTATCTCTAACACTTGTTAGAATAATAGATGTAATAAGCTTCACTCTATTCTTAAGCATTTCATTTGAGATATCTTGATCAGAATTTCAATATAGCTTATTCTGTCTTTCAGATTTTAACAGTTTTATGCTTTCTTCAACTGCTTTTCAATCAGCTTTTTCAAAGTTAAACTGATTAGAGAGAGGAGTATTTTCACTCATTTATTTTTCACTCAGTTCAATATTAAATTGAATAATCTCATGATCTGATTCTGATGTCTTATTTAAATTAATAAACCAGTTTACAAGTCTTCTTTTCATTAGATTTTGTGACATGAAGATTAGATCTATAATAGATTTCTGTTTCATGTCTTTTCTAAAGAATGTTTGTTGATCAGACTTATTAATCAAATCTATTGAATACTGAAAGATTTATTTAATCAGATTATCAGCTCTCACTGCTCTCTTGCATTTTAAATTTCATCAGAGATGATGTGCATTGAAAGCTTCTGCAATAATAGAGTTTCTTGATAGAGTTATGTTCAGAAATCCTCTATCAATTGTTCAGATATTGTTATTTTTCTTCAATGACTTTTTATTATAGATATTTATAAGCTGTATAGTATCAAACTCATTTTCTTTATCTATAATATCACTCATCAGAATATCAGAATCAGACATGATATCAAATCTTAGATTAAATTAATATCTTGATTTCTTTCTTTCATAGATTACTACTCTTGACTTTATCTCAGACTTTTGAGATAGAAAGCAGTAGTAGCTTGAATGAGAAATAATGTAATTTTACTCAGTATCAAAATTCGGTTTCTGAAGTAGTATAAAATCAACTTTTTATTCAAATGCAATTTAAAGATAAGAATAAATACAATTTGAGTTTCTATTCACATTATTTTGAATAAATGTGATTTTTGAAGAGTTTTTAAACTTTTTTTGTTGTTTTTGTTGTATATTCATACTAAAAGAGAGTAGAGATAGAGTAGAATCTAGTCACTATCATCAGATAGTAGATTATAACTATTTTGAAAAGTAGAAATCTCAACTACTTGCATTATATCTAGTTTATTATCAGAGTCATTTCTCAATTCTCTAATCTTAACAGAAGTTTGAGAATTCAAATTCTGTTTACATTTAGTTGAAGAATTGAAGTTTGAAGATTTAGATAGTTAAGAGTTTTTTCTTTTTGAGCTTGTAGTTATAAGTCTACTGACTTGACTCTTCTCTTCAGTTCTAGATTGACTTTGAGCTTCATCTTTTCTTCAGTTCTTTTGAGTTCTAGAAGTAAACATACATTCTTTTGAGCTAGATGCATGTTTTTCTTTACAATTAGAGCACTTAAGCAGAGTGTGTTGACATATTTCATCTCTTTTTAAGCATGTTTCACATTTATACTCACTAGTTTTATGATCTCTGGCACAGAATGCACATTTTAAGTCTCTAAAACATGAGATTGCAAAGTGTCTATATCTTTGACAGTTTGAACACTGTGTTTGAGCTTTGAGATTCATTCTTGAGTCTTTGTATTCATGAACTCTCATTTTCAAACCTGTTACTCTTACTTCAGAGATCTTTGACTGTTCAAGTGTTTTTATATATACTAGAACAGAGGCATTTCTCCTGCTTTATCTGAACTCAATTGAATTTAGTTATACAGGCTTCTTTCTCAGTTGAATAGAGTTGTATTCTTTCAATTTATTTTTGAGAAGTAGCATTTCTTTGTGATTCAAAGGTTGCTTAAGCCAGCGTACGATTACAGGCGTACGCCGGCTTCTTATATATTGTAATATCATACGCTAATTTAATTAGCGGCTGCTATGGCCCCTTTACACTCGTACATGTACACTAGTAGTTCAGAAGTGGCTGTGTATACTAGTAGTTCGGAAGTGGCCGCGTTATTATTCAACAGTCATACATTCTTCTGAATCACATTCTCCCTCACCAGATTCAGTCATGCTCATGTGATCATGTCATACATCCTAGCTTCATGCGGATTAGCTCGCCACTAGTGTTTCATGATTGTGTGATCTATTCCTGATTCAACTAGCATTCTGCATACACTCTTACAAAGAAACTTTCACTATATTACATCACTTATTCACTAACTTTTATCATTCTTCAACTATCTTCTTCATTTCATCATCATTGAACATTACAATCATTCAAGATTTCTATTCCTTCTTCTGTTCAACTCTTTCTATCTGTTCATCTATCACATTGTACACATTTCTGGCAATGATTCTCTATTCTCATAACAAGTGTCATTGTAGTGCTCATATCAGACAGTTCATTAGCAGTAAGTGTAACACATTGTGAAATGTGATCAGAACTTGTTTATCTTCTAACAATCATCAGAACAACATATTAGCATGAATGATGACACATCTTCTTCATCTTCTTATATATCTCTTATCATTTTCTTCTCAGTGAGTTTCTGATCATGTTTTCTGACATGATTTTATGTGAATACAGATGCTGATATATTTGTTTTTATTTGTGTAGAATCTTTATACATTGACGGATTCACATCTGTCTATGATAGTGAACTCAGTGTTGAATCATTGATTGAGAACTTGAAGAATATAATAATGAAGAAATTGTCTGTGTTATATATAGCTGAGTCTTTTATATTTCTCTCTACTCTCTCTGTTTCTTTCTCTGTCACTTCTTCTCAATCTTCTACATCTGTCTCTGTGTCTGGTTTCTCTTCTGCTACCCCTGTTCCTGCAACTCTCACTTCTGCTACTTCTGGTTTTACTATCTCTGCTTTCATTATCAGCTCTTCTTATTTCAAGAAGATGTTGTGTAGACTTAATGAACTATCTCTCTCAGTGCATACACTCTCATTCTTCTTATCAACTCTCAGAATGATTTATTGTATAAAGACAGTGTATAACACAACTATCTGAATAAAGCAGTGTCTGAGTGAGATGAATGAAGAAGTTCTGTTAATTCTTCATGCTCAGACTAGACAACTACAGAAAGTGATTAAGTTCAAACTTGGAATTTCAAACACAGTTTAAAAAACTTTGAAAATTTCTAATACAATCACTGACTCTTCAGTTTGCTCTTCTTTCTTTTCTATAGACTGGCCGCCAGAACTATGAATTTCACATTTGATCCCATTTGGTCTGGTCTCATACATTTCTTGGCGTGAATCCCGCTGGGACTGGCTATCAAAAAAACATGTAAAGTGACTATATATCAGATCTTAAAATGAAATCATGACTTGAAAAAAATGAGAAAGTGGTCTCATTTGATCCCATTTAGTCCCATTCTTGGTATAAAGTTACTATTTTTAGACATTTTAAGGTTTTTTTTAGACTATTTTTAATTTTTTAAAAAGTAACACTTTTTGGTAACACTCAAATGAGATTTAAAGTCATTTAAAGCAATAAAAATAATTTAAATTGAGAAGTAGAAATCATGGTCTCATTTGGAAAATGTGACAAGAGTAGACAGTAAGTCTCACTGAGACAGTATGAAACCACTATCTAATGTTAAAACCGTGTAATGGGATCAGTCGAATTGGTAATGAGACTATCAAAAAATCTGGTCCTGGTCTCAGACACGGTCACACGGTCAGTCTACTTTTCTACTTCTTCTTCTTCTCCTTCTCTGAATCAGAAGAAAACATATGCTCAAGCAGCTGAATCTGCTGCCTCTAAACCTGCTGTCTCTAAACCTGCTGTCTCAAAACCTGCTCAAAATCCTGAGAAAACTGAGAAGAATACTGCTCATGCCTCTATTCATAGAAAAGTAGAAAAGAAAATGCAAAAAGAGAAAAACTTTCAAATCTTCAGAAATAGAAGACTTATTCTCAAAGTCTCAAACCAGGACATTCTGCAAAGAAACAAGCTAAACTCAAATCTCATTTTCAGAATCAGAAATGAAATTAACCAGCAGTTCTTTTCTCAGTTGATGACTGATATTGAAGTTCAAAAACCAGTTATAGCTTCAATTGAATCATCATTCTTTGAAAACTCCATCATTCTGACTACAATGCCTGAATTCAGTGCTGAATTCCTTATTCAGAATGAGAATCTCTGGAAGTCAGCAGTAGAATCTTTGTTAAACACAACAATTCTATCTGAAAGAGATGAAAAGTGAGACAAATTCATTTCTTCATGATATTCCAGTTGAAATTTTTGACTGTGAAGAAGAAATGCTACTTCTCAAAAATGAATTGAAAGAATACAACTCTATTCAACTGAGAAAGGAGCCTGTATGACTAAATTCAATTAAGTTCAGACAAAGCAGGAGAAATGCCTCTGTTCTAGTATATATAAAAACACTTCAACAGTCAAAGATCTCTGAAGTAAGAGTAGCAGGTTTGAAAATGAGAGTTTATGAATACAAAGACTCAAGAATGAACCTCAAAGCTCAAACACAGTGTTCAAACTGTCAAAGATATGAACACTTTGCAATCTCATGTTTTAGAGACTCAAAATGTGCATTCTGTGCCAGAGATCACAAAACTAGTGAGCATAAATGTGAAACATGCTCAAAAAGAGATGAAATTTGTCAATATACTCTGCTTAAGTGCTCTAATTGCAAAGAAAAACATGCATCTAGCTCAAAAGAATGTATGTTTACTTCTAGAACTCAAAAGAACTGGAGAAAAGATGAAGCTCAAAGTCAATCTAGAACTGAAGAGAAGAGTCAAGCCAGTAAACTCACAACTGCAAGCTTAAAAAGAAGAAACTCTCAACTATCTAAGTCTTCAAACTTCAACTCTTCAGCTAAATGTAAACAGAACTTGAATCCTCAAACTTCTGTTAAGATTAGAGAATTGAGAAATGACTCTGATGATAAACTAGATATAATGCAAGCAGTTGAGATTTCTACTTTTCAGAACAGTTATAATCTACTATCTGATAATAGTGATTAGATTCTACTCTACTCTCTTTTAGTATGAATATACAACAAAAACAACAAAAAAAGTTTAAAAACTCTTCAAAAATCACATTTATTCAAAATAATGTGGATAGAAACTCAAATTGTATTTATTCTTGTCTTCAAATTGCATTTGAATAAAAAGTTGATTTTATACTGCTTCAGAAGCTGAATTTTAATGCTGAGCAAAAATATGTTATTTCTCATTCAAGCTACTACTGCTTTTTACCTCAAAAGTCTGAGATAAAGTCAAGAGTAGTCATCTATGAAAGAAAGAGATCAAGATATCAATTTAATCTAAGATTTAATATCATGTCTGACCCTGATATTCTGGTGAGTGATATTATAGATAAAGAAAATGAGTTTGATACTATACAGCTCATAAATATCTATAATGAAAAGTCATTGAAGAAAAATAACAATATCTGAACAATTGATAGAGGATTTCTGAACATAACTTCATCAAGAAACTCTATAATTGCAGGAGATTTCAATGCACATCATCCCTGATGAAATTCAGAATGCAAGAGAGCAGTGAGAGCTGATAATCTGGTTGAATGAACCTTTGAGCATTCAATAGATTTGATTAATAAGTCTGATCAACAAACATTCTTTAGAAAAGGCATGAAACAGAAGTCTATTATAGATCTAATCTTCATATCACAAAATCTAATGAAAAGAAGCCTTGTAAACTGGTTTATTAATTCAAATGAGACATCAGAATCAGGTCATAAGATTATTCAATTTGATATTGAACTGAGTGAAAAACAAATGAGTGAAAATCCTCTTCTCTCTAATCAGTATAACTTTGAAAAAGCTGATTAGAAAGCAGTTGAAGAAAGCATAAAACTGCTAAAATCTGAAAGATAGAATGAGCTATATTGGAATTCTGATCAAGATATCTCAAATGAAATGCTTGAGAATAGAGTGAAGCTTATTACATCTATTATTCTAACAAGTGTTAGAGATAATATTATAAAAAGAAAATCTTCTGAGTATTCAAAACCTTGATAAAATGAGAATATCTCATCTAAAAGGAAAGAATTAGCTACTGCTAGAAGAGATTGAAAAAATGATGTAATATCTGATGAAGAGTTCAAAGCTGTCAGAAATGAATATTTTTCAGATATCAAAAGAGCTAAAACAGACTGCTGGAATAAATTTCTTGAAGAAGCACAAGGAAAGGAAATTTTTAAAGCTTTTAACTATACTAAAACAAGAAGTGTAGCAAAACTTTCAGCCTTAGAATATGAGTTTCAGAATGAATTATATACAGCAAACTCTTTTGAGAAAAAATGTCAAGCTTTCATGAGAATTCTCTTTCAGAACTCATCAGACTCAGATTCAGATTCAGAGAAAGAGAATATATCACTTCTCAACTACATTGATGAAAATGACTGAGAATGGCCTGATCTTACACAAGATGAATTAGAGTCAGCTATCTTCTCAAGTTCTGTTAAAACTGCTGCAGGTCCTGATTCAATTAATCACTTGATTATTCAAAATATATATTCCTACTTAAAGAATGAATATTTTGAGCTCTTTTTCAATCTCTTGAAAAATGAATATCATTCTGAATGCTGAAGAGAAGCCACTGAAGTGATTCTTGCAAAACCTAATAGAAAAACTTCAATTTCTAAGTCATATAGAGTAATATCTCTATTGAACTGTTTAGAAAAGGTTTTAGAAAAGATAATAGCTACTCAACTATCTTTTATAAGCTCTATAGATGATTCTCTTTTATTCAGTGAACAAATGAAAGATAGAAAACAGTATTCTGCAATTGACACTGTTCTCTCAGTTGTTCATGATATTCAAATAGCAAAGCATGAGGGTCTGGTCTCCACTGCAGTTTTTATTGATATAAAGGAAGCATTTGATCATGTTTCAAAGTCAAAGTTAATTCAGACATTGAAGATATTAAAACTGCCACTTTCTCTAATAAAATGAGTTAACTGTTTTATGTCTAAAAGAATTATACAACTCTTCTTTGATGGAATGAAACAAGACAAGACTGAGATAAAAATAGAAGTATCACAGAGATCTTCAATCTCACTCATTTTATTTGCAATATACACTGCATATCTATTCAAAAATAGAAATATGAGAATAGTGTGATCTCTGAGTTATGTGGATGATATTGGTCTAGTCTACAGCTCAAAAACTATCAAAGAGAATTTGAAAGTAATTGAAGAAGCTGCAAAGAAAATCTTTGTTAGAGCAGATATCAATCAAATTCAATTTAATATGAATAAAACTGAGTTAATTCATTTCTTTTCTAAACTCAATGAGAAAGAACTATCTCTAACTCTTTTAAATAGAGAGATGAAACCCAGTGTAAATATCAAATGATTAGAAGTATGGTTAAACTCCAAGTTAAATTTTAAATATCACATTCAATAAAGAACTGTCAAGGCAGAAAGACTATTGAACAACATAATCAGACTATCAAATACAGAGAGAGGTCTATTCTTCCAGGCTATGAGACAGTTATATATAGCCTGTATTACATCAGTAGCTGATTATGAAGTTCAAGTTTGATGGAATAATCAAGGGAATTTCACTGAACTCTTTCAAAGTCTGCAAAACAGAGTCTTGAGAAGAATTCTGAAAGCATTCAAATCATCTTCTATTAAAGCAATGGAAATTGAAGCTTCAATTCCTTCTTCTGCTATTAGATTTGAAAAGGCCTGTATGAACTATGCTCTGAGAGTTATAAAGATGAGCTTAAATTATATAATCAGAGAAAGAGTCTCTTCTTCATTTTCATCAATTAACTCTGGAAATGAACTGGATTGGAATAGATTTCTTGATTGAAATGAAAATAATTCTTCAAAGAAAATGTCTTCTCAACTGTACAGACTATGCTCTCTGATTAAAAATCAATTTTCTTCTTTAAATGTTGAAAAAGTTGATCATGAGAAGTTATCTCCCGGGAGAGAAAAGCTTGAATCTCTTATAGACTTACAAATAAGTGAACTATCAAAAGAGAAAGAATATGAACAGTATTTAAAGAGAATTTCTACAATCAATATAAAAGACTCTATTCTGGTTTATTCAGATGACTCAAAAAATGAGAACTTGAATAGATTAGGCGCAGGCATTGCTTATACTGAAGATAATATTAATTTTATCTCAGATTTCTGAAATCTAGGCTCTGAATGTGAAGTCTTTGATGCTGAACTATTTGTAATAGTGAAAGCTTTCAAACTCATTGAAATAAAATCTCATAAAAGAGGAAATTGTTTGAAAGAGGCATGGATATTCTCTGATAGTCAAGCTGCTTTAAAAAGACTTAGAAATAGTCAGATTCATAATGATCAAATGAATCTTGAACTGATCTTAAACTCTGTTTTGAAAATTCAAAAGAGAAGAATATCAAAGTTGATAATTCATCTGCACTGGGTTCCTGCTCACATGAATATTCATGATAATGAATTGGCTGATTCAGCTGCAAAAAAGGGTGCAGAATTAAGCAGATCTATTCAAAAAATTATGTCCTGGTCTTTTATAAAGAGAAAAATAAAAGAATCTTATTTAGACAAGTGGAATGAAAGCTGGCAGAAACAAAAGAAGAGTATACATTATTCAAGATTTGAAACAAAACCCAAGTGGAAATCTTGTTCAATTAAATGTAAAAAGAAAATATTCTCATCTATAATACAGCTGAAACTAGGACATGGCTATTTCAAATCTTATATACAAAGATTTGATGATAGATTTAACTCAATAGAATGCTCATTCTGCAATACAAATGAGAATTCTGAGTATATTGTAATGCACTGTGCATTATACAATAGTCTCAGAGCCAGATTGAAAGAGAAGTATGATCTAAATCAATTAAATATGAGATTCTTATTCTCAACTGAGACAGGAATTAAATACTTAATAGACTTTCTATCAGAAACTCAAGCAGCTATAAGAAAATGGCTAAATTCAGAATTATCTGAGTATGAAGAGGAGGAAATTAATCAGATATAGTCTGTTAAAACAGCTATACACTCTCTTTTAATAATTTGTTTTGTTATAGTCTCTCTTTACTTTATCTTTTTCTTTATCTTTTTCTTTCAATTTCTTTCTATCTATTTATTTAATGTGTCTATCTTTGAGACTGTGTTCTTTTTCTCTTTTCTTTTGTCATGATATTGTCAAATGGTTTCAAAGTATCAAAAGATGTTAAAACACTGTAATTTGTATACAGTTTTTCTATTCAG